TGGTCCTCCTGGGCCTCCAGGGCCTTCAGGGCCTCCTGGTCCAAATGGCTGGCCAATGTCTTGAGGAACAGTTACATCAGATGGCAATGAAGGTCCCCCAGGTCCACCAGGCCCATCAGGTCCTCCAGGTCCACCAGGTCCTCCTGGGCCTCCTGGTCCTCCAGGTCCACCAGGTCCTCCAGGTCCTAATGGCCCTAATGGTTCCAACACATCATCTGGTATCTTTTCCTTTTCTTCTGGGGTTGGAGTTGGTCCACCTGGACCACCAGGTCCATTGGGTCCCCCAGGTCCATTGGGTCCCCCTGGACCATTAGGTCCACCAGGACCATCTGGTCCACCAGGTCCACCTGGTCCACCAGGTCCACCTGGTCCACCAGGGCCACCTGGTCCTCCGGGTCCTCCAGGTCCATTAGGTTTTCCTAAATCAGGCTGTAGTGTTTCATCTGTTGCAAGAGTCGGTCCACCTGGGCCACCAGGGCCACCGGGACCCCCAGGTCCACCAGGTCCACCAGGCCCTTGAGGCCCCCCAGGTCCATTTGGTCCTCCTGGTCCATTAGGTCCAAGTGGTTCACCTGGTTCATTAGTGTATTTGGGTGCTAGTGTTGGTCCTCCTGGTCCACCAGGTCCATTTGGCCCACCGGGTCCATCTATAATAAAACAAGTAATTGCATTACATAGTACCTGTGAGTTTTCAAATTTAAGAAATATTTCGATTTTCAATATGAACAGATAGATAATGTTAATAACTAAAACACATTACGCAAACAACACTAATGCATTAACTAAAACAAAATAGCCACCAGTCGGCCATTTTGAATCCAGTTCTAACAAAGAAAATGTGGTGCATTAAGTTCCATGAAGCTCAATTAGTCTATGAATGACTAAGATTCAGATCAAAAATTGCAGAAATTTTCTTGATGAATTTGTAACACAGACGCTTATGGCTTATGGCATTTATTAAAACAAAATAATCACCAGTCAGCCATTTTTAATCCAATCTAAAAAGCAAAGGTCCAATATTGTCCAATGTGTGTTTGAACAAAATTGGTCCATACACGGCCAAGATCTGGCACACATATGCCCACAAAGATTTTTCAACTTTGTCCAAACTGGGCTTTACAACCAGTCAAAACATAATGATGAACAAATGTCTGCCCATTATATATTTTGACTGGCAAATATACAGTACCCTATAAGTATATAATTTTTACTATCTGTAAGTGTGAAAATAAACTCACTTGGTCCTCCTGGTCCATTTGGCCCACCAGGTCCACCAGGACCCATTGGACCACCAGGCCCACCTGGCTCTCCTGGTGCTTTAAATGTTGGTGTTGTCAAAGCTGCAAGTAGATAATACAATGCATAGTAAACATCATGCAGACGACAATTTAAATTCTTTCAAATGTGAATTAAATTAAACAACAAGAATGTTTAGTTTTTTAATTACTTGTGGCTAAAGGAGAGCCTCCTGGACCTCCAGGGCCTCCAGGACCATATGGTCCTCCAGGTCCGCCAGGCCCCTCTGGACCCCCAGGTCCCTCTGGTCCGCCAGGTCCTCCAGGTTTACCAATATCTTCAGGGAGCGTTTCACCTGCAGGTAATGATGGTCCATCAGGACCACCAGGTCCATAAGGTCCTCCAGGTCCACCTGGACCGCCTGGCCCACCAGGTCCTCCAGGTCCACCTGGTCCACCCGGTCCACCTGGTCCCAGCGGTTCCAATACATCTTTTGGTATTAAAAGTTCATCCTCAGGATGTACAGTAGGTCCTCCAGGTCCTCCAGGTCCATTTGGCCCTCCTGGACCATTTGGTCCTCCTGGTCCATTTGGTCCTCCTGGACCATCAGGTCCTCCTGGCCCTCCTGGTCCACCAGGACCACCAGGTCCTCCTGGGCCTCCTGGACCAAATGGTCCACCTGGTCCATTAGGTCCTCCTGGACCTTCTGGTTTGCCCACATTTTCAGGTATTGTTTTATCTGTTGCCATTGTTGGTCCACCTGGTCCACCAGGTCCTCCTGGACCACCTGGTCCACCTGGACCGCCAGGTCCACCAGGTCCACCAGGTCCTAAAGGCCCTCCAGCTCCACCAGGTCCTCCTGGTCCATTTGGCCCAAGTGGTTCACCAGGTTCATGGGTATCTTCAGGTGCCAAAGTAGGTCCTCCAGGCCCTCCAGGACCATTAGGGCCACCAGGTCCCCCAGGTCCACCTGGTCCGCCTATGAAAAGAAATGCAGATTTATATACCAACACATAAAAAATAACACATATTAGTAGAGAAGTTTGCTGCAAAAATGTATAATCCCTTTTATCACATAGTTGAATTAAAATAGTATCATTATATCTTGTACATATTTTGTACATATTTAAATACCTGGTCCACCTGGACCTCCTGGGCCCAATGGTTCTCCTGGTTCTCTTATTTTTGGTTGTTCGACTGGTATGCCAATAACTAAAAAGAAAATAGAGTTATGATATAAGCTGAGGCTGCTGCCTACCTAATTTAAAAAAAGTCGTGAGTATTTGATTGTTAGATTACATAATATAATTTGAGACATGATTGCGTTAATTTACATATTTATTGACCTTGTGTATTAATATTCATGACATATTTGATATGCTAACATTTGATTTTAAATTAACAAAAGAAATATTTTGTTTATGGTTATTTTTTATGCAGTCACATTTTCACCATAATTATAATATATCAACAACAGTAACAATATTTATCTCACCTGTTGTTTCGCCTAATCTGCTAAAATACACTGTGACATCTGTAAATGCGCTCATGTCGAACGGACATCTGCAGTCAGTCTTCTCCACACATTCGTCGTCTTGTTCAACTTGGCCGGGTGGACATTGGCAGCCAACCACACATACATCTGGATCTACGCACTCTGTTATTTGCGAAACATCATCACACGTTGCTGGACATGCCGGGATTTCACCACATGCCGTCACAAATATCTTTCCATCAGTGCATGTTTCCTCTGTGTAAGTAAGTCAATGCACACATAAGTGCAGAAGAAACCGATTCAGCTTGGTAAATCAACATGAGCAGTGTGTGTACAAAATGTTGTTTTATTTGGTTATTTACTTATTATATAAACACTAATTGGAAGCTTATCAAAGGTACAGTTGGTACACGAATAATATGGCTAAATAAACCATCATATTTTTATCTGTAATTAAAAAGGTAGGGCTTGTTTTCAATACAGTCAACGACTAGTCTCATTTACAGTAATCACTGTCAACCATGCTTATAATAAACATCAGCTACACTGTCTCTGACTATCTTTGAGTCAGTTTGTCTTGTGTTTAGACACTGCTTTATTTTGGGGTTATCACAATTCAATTATTAAACTGCACTGATTATTTGCTGTAATGAATGCTGTATAAATCAAATATCACTATATTGTGCAAGATGATGATATCTGTGAGTACACACGGAGAAATAAACATGAAGAAGTAATTCATTTCCAATAATGTACAAATAGCAGTATCTACCATGTTGTTTGACATATAGTATATTAGTAACTGTATGCTCTAGTATGTGTTTATAATTAGTAATTAAATACATGATATATCATAGTTAAGACGTAACTTATTATAGATAATGATAAATTTGCACTGATCAACCAAACAAATCCTCAACTGATAAGACCCATGTTGTGTTTACAAGTTCAAACTTGAATATTGAACTTGTACTTTGACTTAGGTTCATAATCTGATCACCTCATAACAAAAATTAATGTAAATTTGAAATTCATGTGAGATCTACAATTATAGTGGTTTACAAGTACAAAATGTACAGCCTGAAAAATGTCACATGATGATATTAAATGTGTTTACCTTCACATGGTTCTGTGTTGCACTGCTTACTCTCTACATCTATACCCACACATATGTCGCTTAATTCTCCTGTTTTAGGGTGTTCACATTCTCTGCTTCTGATCTGCACGCCCCCATTGCATGTCATGGAACAATCCGCCCATGGTGACCATGACGACCAGGTAACTGCAAATATGTAAGTCAGTCATGCCATACGTTTTGCATATTCAAAGTAGCAGAAATGTTTTAAAAACATCACATTTAATAAATTATCCTTCGATATAATCATGTAATTACAGATCATATAAAGTTTAAATATACAATTCTGCCTTACCTGTTGGCACAGTAGCTTTTACAGCGACTGTTGGTTGGAACGTACCAGGTGGATACACTAATAAACGTAAATAGAAAATCATTTGTCATGAAAATGAGTTTATCACGAAGCTGTTATGGAGGCTGTATGGGTGTTAACCTGACATGTATAACATGAATGTAATGCTATCAGGTTATGCAGGTTGGTAAGGTAGTTATTATTGTTGTCAATGATGTTTTGTCATGTGGTATGTGGTATAGGTGTTATTGACATATTGAGTAGCGATGTTATGAAAACTTTTGATATTTTTTGCAGTGTTTTGTAGTCATACTGCTGTACCATTATTCAATGTAGAGCCAATAAATAAATACAAGTAATTGAATTATCTTGATTCAGATCATGAAGGAAATAGATATGCATATGTGATGTACTATCTGTGAAGTTTGAATGTGATTAGGCCAGGCATGTTCAAGTGACAGATGGTGATGCACAGATACATGTACGCACACACACACACACATATGTACAGAAGTCAAAACATAAGGCCCTGTTTTTGGACTGAATCCAAATTCGTAACACTTTGAAACATATCCTGACAATGTTTTATGGATGGATGAATTCTGTTGTTTTTGATGTCAGATTTATAATATTAGAGCAGATTGTTATCTCCATAATTCCATTGCGTGAAACACTTACCAACAGGTGGTGTAGTCCTACCTGGTGGTGGTGGCGGCGGCACTAAAAAAGATGCAAAATATACAAAAGTCAACATCAATAAGATACCCTTTGAATTTATAAAATTATATTCGAAACAATAAATGCAATTATAAATGTCTCACCTGGGGTTGTAGCTGATGGTGGTTTAGCAGTAACTGAAAGAGGACAATATGTGATTACATGATGCATCATAAGTTATGTAGCAAGTATTACGATGTGGAGCATGATTATATAAATATATTAGCACACAATTGATAAAATAGTGTATTATTAGTAACTGAAAATGTGGGAAAATTGATTAACAAAAATTACTTCAAAACATAACATATAATATATTTTGTGTGTTTCGATTTTAGCTAGTACAGATTTAATATTTTATTGTATATTCTAAAAAAAGTATTACAAAATGAGTTTTTATCTATATTTATATAAATTCAAAATATTAACACTCCACGTTCTTGACCACATGTGAACACAGTCATGAACACTTACCACAAACCTCCTCTGTACAATTCAGATGTCCTTCAATACATGTACTATTGAAATAATCACAATCAACAAATCAGTATATAAACATGGTTGAGGATTATGCACACATCCACATTCTTATTATAGATCATTTATGAACAATTTGCAAATGTACACATTTGAATACTGCAATTTTATTTTAAAATACCGTGGAACGCTAGTTTTCCAAATTCAATGGTTAAAAATACAGAATGTTTCAGCAAACACACCTCGCTAATCTTTTTCTTACTGATAACAAATACGATAATGTTTACATGCTGCATTTTATGTGCACGCACATGCTACTATAACTTGAAGGGGAGCTGGCTTTCTTCAGCGGATCAAATAAATCCCAAAATAATGTGTATATAAATGCATTTTGCAGGCTCAATGATTGAAAATGAAAATTATGAGCGGATAAAAAAAAGGTGTCCAACGGTCAGAAAATTACAACACACAAAATGAATGTGTGTTTTGGTTTGTATCTAAGTTCTCTCCAATCTGACCACTGTCAGCATGTAGTCATGTCATTGAAATACCAAGCAAAGGTGTGCCTCCTGAGTTTTTATGTCACAGCATATGCTGCAAGGGTTGAATTTGAAAGACGGCTAGTCACGGCAGTATTTGTGTAGCAACCTTATGTTCAATGTGAAATGAAAAAATTAAATGAAAAAAATTACCAGTTATTACAGTCGACGTATATTATCGTATCCACATCAATGAGCCCTTCAGGTGGTGGCACTGCAGTTACTTGAGTAATAACTGTAACAAGAATATTTCAAGTTATGAAAGAAAGAAATATAAATCATAATAATATATCCACTCAAAGATACATTACAAATGTAAGTTATCAATTACCTTCTCCCAGTTCTGGTCCTCCAGGACCGCCTGGACCTCCAGGTCCACCTGGTCCTCCTGGTCCACCTGGGCCTCCTGGTCCACCTGGGCCTCCTGGTCCTCCTAGACCTAGAGGTCCCCCTGGACCTCCTGGAATGCCAATATTTTCTGGAAGAGTCACATCAGATGGTAGTGTAGGTCCATTTGGTCCTCCTGGACCATCAGGTCCACCAGGACCACCAGGTCCTCCAGGTCCACCTGGTCCACCCGGACCTCCTGGACCACCTGGGCCACCTGGCCCCAAAGGCTCCAGCACATCTGTTGGTATCTCATCCTCTTCGTCAGGAGGTGGTCCACCAGGGCCACCAGGTCCATTTGGTCCCCCTGGCCCATTTGGTCCCCCAGGCCCATTTGGTCCTCCAGGCCCATTTGGTCCTCCAGGGCCACCAGGACCCCCAGGACCCCCTGGTCCTCTAGGTCCACCTGGCCCATCAGGCCCACCAGGACCGTTCGGCTCTCCAACATCTGAAGGTATTGTCTGATCTGTAGCAAGTGTTGGTCCATCAGGCCCACCTGGGCCACCTGGCCCTCCTGGTCCACCAGGCCCACCAGGCCCACCTGGTCCACCAGGGCCTCCAGGCCCACCTGGTCCATCAGGTCCGAGTGGTCCATTTGGTCCAAATGGCTCTCCAGGACTTTTAGGTGGAAGCGTGGGTCCACCAGGCCCACCAGGCCCGTTTGGTCCACCTGGTCCGCCTATAATCAAAACAAAATTGTTATTTTAAAATGAAGATTGTATTATTTGTATACACATGTAGTATGCATGGGGAGGATCTCATATCATGAATAGTGAATAACAAACTACCCAAATGAAAAATGAAATGCATGAAATTAACATACCAGGTCCACCTGGTCCATATGGTCCACCAGGTCCTCCAGGACCCATCGGTCCACCTGGTCCACCAGGTTTACCAGGAGCTGCTACTGGAGGAGTTGTCATAACTACAATCAATGATAAATTGTTTTACATTTTAGTGTGCTAATTAATTAATAGATATAGTGCAGTGATTTTATTCATGATACACAAGTACAAGACATCAGTTCTCTTTTTGATTATGCTGTATTATTTTCAAACATGAACATGTATATGAAAAGTAGTATCTAAACTAATATGTTGTGAACACATTTAATACAGTATGTTTTTAAAAATAGGTTACATAAACGACTGGAACAAATGCTATATAGCTTTGGAGACTTTTGGAATGCATCAGATGCTCACTCATAATAAAACATGACACATCAAGTGACTTGTATTACTCTTGAGTTGCCTGACCATATATAATATAGCATCTTTGGTTGAAGCTACATTGGACATTTTTGTTCTGTGTCTTTAAAACACAAATTTAAAATCCAGATATAGATTGATTTAGGTATGATGTTTTCAAGAATCATTAACAATTAATATTGTAAATAAAATGACATCATATTAAAAAGGAGATACTTACTTGTGAGTGCTGGTGGGCCTCCTGGACCTCCAGGACCCCCCGGTCCTCCAGGACCTCCAGGTCCCCCTAGACCCAGTGGTCCACCAGGACCCAACAACCCACCTGGTCCTCTTGGCATACCAATATCTTCTGGAAGAGTTATGCCTGCTGGCAAAGTTGGTCCATTTGGTCCCCCAGGTCCATCTGGTCCTCCAGGCCCTCCCGGTCCTCCAGGCCCTCCTGGTCCACCTGGTCCCCCTGGGCCTCCAGGTCCACCTGGTCCCAAAGGTTTTCCTATGTCATCTGGTATATTTGTTTTTTCCTCAGGAGTTGGTGTTGGTCCACCAGGGCCTCCAGGCCCATTGGGTCCACCAGGCCCATTAGGTCCACCAGGGCCATCAGGGCCTCCAGGCCCTTCTGGACCACCTGGCCCACCAGGTCCACCTGGACCTCCTGGTCCTCCAGGTCCTCCAGGTCCTCCAGGCCCCCCAGGTCCTCCAGGTTCACCCACATTTAATGGCAATGTCAAATCAGTTGCTAGAGTTGGTCCCCCTGGTCCTCCTGGTCCCCCTGGTCCTCCAAGTCCACCAGGACCTCCTGGTCCACCTGGCCCACCTGGTCCACCTGGGCCTCCAGGACCACCCGGTCCAAGGGGTTCTCCAGATTTTATAGGTGAAGATGTGGGTCCTCCGGGCCCATCTGGGCCATTAGGTCCACCAGGACCATTAGGTCCTCCTGGGCCATCTACAATAATTACACAAATACATGGCATTGCTTATTTTCAGAAAGTGGATATTATGTTGACTATGTCTTATATGGTACTATTCAAATACACAACTTGTTTTTAAAGTTTTGTTATTTAAATCTGGGCAGTAACTCTCCTTAGTCACTTCAAAAATGAGTGAAGCAACAATAGGATTAACACATAAAAACAGAAGAAATGATAAATACTTTCAAGTCATTTTAATTAGTGAGACATTAACACTTTTCAAGTTCCATCATTTTCCGAGACTTGAAATATATTGCATAATTTAATACAAAACATATAAAAATGTTAATATATATTGACTCACCTGGACCACCAGGTCCACCTGGGCCTAATATCCCCCCTGGTCCACCTGGTTCTCCTGGCGCTGCTGCTGCAACTAATAAGATATTAAGTAATGTAATGACAGTATTTTGTTTTTTGAAATAGCTGTCAAATGTCAGAATAAATAAAGTCATTCATGCTCACCTGTTGTTCTGATGAGTTTACTAAACTCAACGGGTACTGCTCCAAATATTTCCATATCATATGGGCATTTGCATTCTGCCTTCTCAACACATTCCCCATCTTGTTCAACCTTATTATCTGGGCACCGACAACCAGGGACACAACTGTCTGGATTTACACATTCAGTTATGCCAGAAACATGTTCGCAAGATGAAGGACATGATGGGTATTGATCACAGTCTTCCACGTACACCTTCTCATCCATACATATTTCTCCTGTACATTAATCAAGAATATAATTGTAGGATGATCACGCCTGTAAGTTATCTTTAATCAGGAATTTGGGAGCATGGCTATGGTATGCGTGTGTATTTGTAATTATATTTTAATCTTCCATGGGACTTAGACTTACATACATTTTTTTTCTCTCAGTAAAACAAAATTGAATGGATGAATGAACTGAATGCATTGCCTGGAAATATATGTGACAGTAGATATAGTGACTTTAAGGTGTTTTTCTCTTAAAGATGGCCGCCAGTTTTTAGTATGCAAATGACACTCAATCGTGAAACTAGTTTCGACAATTTTAACGCCTGTGGTGTTCCCTGAAATATATCCCCACAGTGAAATGATTGGTGATCGACAACATTGTGTGAAAAAATGTATGTGTGTCCATGTTCAAAACCTTTGAGTCGCACATATACTCATGTATATATAGTTATTTGGCAAAAGCAATGACAACAATTACCAAATCGTTTTGATCTTTTCAAGTTAGAAGCGGTGAATGAAAGTTTCAGTCACCATTTACCACCCAACCTCTCGGCAATGAATTTTTGCCAAGGGTTTATTTATAAATATTTACTCATGACACGCATGTTATAGTTACGGTGTATCTATATTGATTTATTTATAACTTTGCGTATTTAGATTTTTTTACTCATAATTGGCATGTACAACATAATGTATTTATTATATTTATTTACTAATAAACCTATGTTACAAGCAAGACATGACACAGTACATAAATAGAAATACACCGTGCTTGTAACGTACGGGCTGTGAGTAAATAAATATAAATAGGCCACACTTGTATAATGTTGGTACAAGAGTGCATGAGATCAATTCAGAAACACCACTGAGAACAATGCCCTATTGCCAAACGTTTACAGAAATTGTGCTTTACAAGTCACAACAAGTGAAACAAACACAGAAAACTGCTTTCAAAAGAATGTGTGGGCCCTGTGAGCATTGAACAATGCGATTCAATAAGGATCATAACATAATGCATGATGTTAGCTTACAGGTTAACACCTTCAATTGAAATGATAACAGCTGTGTACCAAGTGAACAACTGCATGGGCGAACTATGCAAATTACGTTACCCATGATGCACTGGTGCAATCCCTGGGATTGTGGATGCATGCTTTTAAGAGAAACACTGGTAAATTACTATTGGTTGTACATGCAACTGGATGTTTAATTTGTAATTTGTAAAATAATGATTAAATGTGTATGTAATTTTATTAGAAATATTATCAAATTTGTCAAAGAAGTTGTTTCTAATACTTGTGTATGCTTTACAATGAAACAGAATGTGTAACACATCTTCAACCTGCTGAAAGTCCTGTACTTTACACAGTTACTACCAGAAAAGTTGTCTATATTGAAAATTTGTTGGTTAAATTAAACACATCTAGTTTGCAAGCAGTAGCACTTATTATAAATCAAATGTGAAGATTGACATGTGAATATGTACCTTCACATGGCTCTGTATTACATTCCTGGGTCTGGGCATCAACACCAGTACAGTCAATACTGGACTCTCCAGTTTTAGTGTTTTCACAGTCTCTGGTCCTTGTCTCAACACCACCATTACATGTTACAGAACACTCACTCCATGGTGTCCATGACTGCCAAACACCTACAGATAAATGAAATTAGTGACAACAGAGGTACATTACTTGGGGTTTGCAACACACATAGTACTGTATGGTGACATCATGCCAAGATCCCATTCAAGTCTCATCTCGTAGATAACGAGACTGATGCTACTATTTTCTGACATGACATAGGCAGTTTGTAATAAAACAATAAAACATGTATTACCGCATTCATAGTGTAAAAATGTATTACATCGAAAATGTACCTATTTTGATCCACCTGGACATCCCAGTGTCCTAGTTACCTCGGGCATGCACATTCGCATTTTTCTGAGTTGGAACACTTATGCGAGAGCGAGATTGTAACGGGATCTTGGTATCATGTCACCGTAGTTGCAAACCCCAAGTAATGTACCTCTGGTGACAATAATAATGAAATTACAAATTCAACAAATTTCTATTTCCAATTCAATTTTATACATTGTTATCAAAATAATTACTGCAAAAACATTATTATTTGTGATATATGGTATATTGCATTTAATCCAGTTTCAAGTTTCAATCATTTATTATTATTCATACTTTCTTACTAGCTTATCCAGTATGCCAGGGCCTGTAGTACATAATATACATATTTAGGCTTTTTTAAAAAGACATTGTCTTAATTTTCTCATCAAAACTATTAACCAAGAATTTTGTAGAGAATGACAAAATCTGCACAACCTAGATCCAGAATTGAAGATTGAAATGCTTGATTTTCATGAATTATAACATGACATTCATCAAAGACCCAATATAATGTCTGAAGTATGTACCCAGTTTGTACAAATGGAATATGGATTGTCATAAATGAAAAATATGCATATGTGTGACATGATGTATGATAAAAATTGAACATTATCAGTCAAGGCATGTCAGTGATACATGTATATAGCTATAGAACAGCATTTATTAAAAAACAAATTGTTCGCCAGTTGGCCATTTTGAAATTGATCTGAAAAACATGATGGGCATCAAGGTTCCATAATGTCTGATGTTTGTAATAAGTTTGAACACAATGAATCCATACATGACAGAGATCTGGTTCCGGAATGGCAACTGCTTGATTTTGATGAATTTTTAACCTTCTGGCCATCTTGAATCAGATTGCAATACCAAATGATGTGCATATGTATCCTACTAAGATGCATGATGTATGTATGAAGTTTTCATGTATTCAGCACAGTCAGAAGTGAAGATGCACAAATGCAGAAACAAACATCAATACTTTCAATGGGGACTAACAAAAAAAGTATAGAAAAATACGTTGAAATGTGTAAACAAATTTGGTTGGGAAAAAATATGGCACCCGAAAGTTTAAGCATCTATGGTGGAGAACTTCCCACATTTCAGATCATCCAATATTGCCTGTAACTAATATCTGTTGGTCGATTCTGAAAAAATTAAAGTGACAACAGTTTTAACACCACACGCACTTACTTGGAGCAACTGTATGTACTACTGTTGTAGGTTGTTTAGTACCTAATACAGTAACTCCTAAAGAAAAACAAAAACAAAAAATAGAATCAGACATAGTGTGTTTGGTACATGTAATCTACAGCCTACTATTAATTTTTTGATTTGAGTTGATGTTATTGCTAGTTATCTGTTCTTATATTTTACTCACCCGGGGGAGTGGTAATCATGGCAGGGGCAATCACCGGTGGTGGACGAGTCTTAATAGCCCAAACAGGTTCAGTAACTAAGAAAAATATAATTAATTAATTCTATACATAAATGTGCACCATTTCCTGATTTTGATTGTTTGAATTATTTGTAGCACATCTGTGAGAAACCGTTTTTTGTGGTGAATGTTTAATTTCCCAATAAATACTGAACATTTTTGGTGCAAATGTAATATTGATAATTGTACAAGTGACATATTCATTTTGAAACATATGCTTACAGTAAATAAATATAAAATAGAAACAGCAGGAACATACAGAAATCAATACTAGTATCTAATTCCCACAACAGCAGGATACCATTTCCTGCTCACATCACCACACATACCCTCACCTACAAACACATACACACACACATACACACATACTTGTATTGCTATATGTCCCGAGTACTCCATTGAATTAAGTATACATTGAATAAACTATTAAATGCATTTATATTTTCCAAGTATTATATTGGACCCAGGTATATATCTGTATTTACATGCTCGAAACATACAACAATGCAAGTTCACACACACTTTATCAACACACTCACACTCTCTCTTGCTCTCGTAAAAACAGAGGGGACATATAGAGAAAACCACATCATGAACCATCTTTATTGTTGAACGTCAGTAATAAACATATTTATATATGTTCAAAGCCGTGTAAATCGTTATTACGATAAATGTGCTGTAGTGAAAAATCACACAAGAAGGTTAATTTCATCTCAAGCAAATTGTCATATGAGACACTGCAGACAATTGAAAGTTAATAATATTAGTTCATGCAGCTGTAGGTGTGTTCCGCAGATTTAAAGTTGAAAAATTTGACATGCTTCCAAATTAGTGTTAATACTGTATATTACAATAAAATGATAAATAAATAGTATTTATAGAGTATTTATAATGGCATTAATAACATGCAAACATGAACAAAATTGGTAATCATGATATGTGCATTTAAAAGTCAACAAAAAAGGAAACATTAATTTCTCATTTGCAGTTAGCGAATAAAACTAAAAATAATAAATATTAATTTGTTATTTGCAGTTTGCAAATAAAACAAAAGTCAATTTTGTTTTAAGAATCTAGTGTTAATTTTATTTTTAAATAAAGATCAATCAAACTCAAGTTTGGTGGGCTGGGCTCAGAACAACCTCTTTCCACCAGATCAATTATTTATATTATTTGCACAGAATGTAACATCACTAACCTGGCTCACCAATTCTACCAGGTTCGCCTGGCAAAGTTGTCATGGGAGTTGCTCCTATAACTAATATTATAAATAGGAATAAAGTTAGTATTTCCTACATAATCAGCAGGAACACCTACACATGCAATTATCATTCGAGTGTTGCACTATGAAATCATTTTCTAAAACTCATATATTTCTTTGATCTTGTATCTATTTAATGCTTACAAATTGGTTCAAAACAAATGAATGCAATCACTATTGTCATTGGATTTTGGTGAAAGAAAATAATCAATGTTTAGGAGTGATTTTT